ACGGGAGTAATCTAATAGGATATTTCAAACCACGAAATATATTAATACAGTATATAGTGTCAAAAATTTACTAAGACATATTGAGATTCTAACGTACTACAGATACTGCGCGAGTTGCACGCGCATAAACATAGCATAGATTATATGAGAGTTCTTGAATGCTGAAGTAAAAATTCAATTAAAAATTAAGTAAAAAACTATAATAATAACTTTTTATTTAATTAAACAAAAAACCCTAACTCTTTTGGTGTGAAATCATTTTCATCGTGCAAAACAGAGTAATGTGTGGATCGTGAGGTTCCTTGTAATCCGGCATGACTTTGCAAGTCTAATTATATTTTATGATAAAAATAGTCTTTGAAAAAGTCTTTACATATAAAGTAAAAAGAAAAAGAAATTACACGTAACTTACAGAAATTAAAATCAAACGGGCGAGTAATTCCTGTTTCTACAACCGTTCCGGGAAGGCAGTTACCAGTACGATCAGTATCACGCTTCTCCATAGGAAAGAAGCGGGTGTGATGTCGTTTTTGTACAACGATGAATGTTAAAGTCGGCTTATATTTAGGATCAAGAGAAGCACAAGCAGCTAAACATAACATCCACACCTTATTTAATATAATTAATATATAACAATGTACATAAAATTATAAATCACTACCTTTAACAGCCGCTACTTCACTTTCAAGGACCTGACTGAATTGGCCTTCAGATACCCCATCGCGGTAAAAAAGAATTCTTTCTGGTTTCCTTCCACAAGTTTGATAAAACAATTTCAAAAGTTCTTTTGTCATATTAGCCAAATCAGCAATCATTTCATTTCTACCTGTTTGTATACGAATTGAAGCGGAATATCTTGATGCCTTGGCATCCATAGATCCGCAAACGACAGCAATAGATGGACGTTTAGTATCACCTGTAATTTAAATTTTTTTTTTTTTTTAAAAAAAAAAAAAGAAAATTAAATTTGTTAACAAAAGAAAATCGATTTACATGAACCTACCGGGCGCGGGATGAGCCACGTCGGCTCCCATTACAATTGTTGGTTGGACGGCTATGAAAGGGATTTGATTTGGACTGATAAATGCATTCATTCCTCCTAATTTGACGTTAATCTTTAGGCAGACATTTGCACAATATTGTTTCTTGGCCGAAATAATGTGTCGGCTTTGCACGCATTGACTTGAAACTCCAATTACAGTATCGGTGACACGTTTAATTTCAGCATATAGTGGAACTCCGATATTAGGCAGAACACATAAAATTAATTGAGGCTGAGCTTTGGCCGTGTTTCCAGCGTTTATCCATGCATGCTTCAGTGACTGTTCGATGTCACCTTGTGGATTAGCATGCGAGATGGGCGGTGTCATATTTGGAATATTCTAATTAAAATTTTATAATTAAAATTTAACGTGTCATGTAATAAAAAAAAAAAAAAAGTGAATTTATGATTAACGATATACCATGCCGGTTTCTATGCAGGTGATTACAAGTTGACGAACAAATTTTTTAACAACATCTGTAGGGTACTCTTGTTCTGTACCAAATGCGACGACAGACCATGAACCAAGGGTAGCTCCTGTGGCTACCTTTTTATCTCTTAAATTCCATACTCCTTCACGTGGTTGGAAATCAGCTTCTCGAGAGGACGGGTGATATTGTAAATTGGGCACCGGGAGCACACGCGCTGGAACCTAAAAGTTTATTTATTTATTTATTTATTTAAAAAATAAAATAAAATATTATACAGTAAAAAAAGAAACTAAAAAACATAATTAAAGTCTCTTTGAGTACGAACCACAATCATTTCATTGCCAATGTTCATTCCAAAATTTTGGAGATATTCATTGTTACGATAATTTAGCAATTCAAAGCCTTGCTTAATTTTATTAGCACGAATGTGAGGCGGTTGGCAAGTGAACTTTATCATATCGGCAGTCTGTTTTCCATTAAGCTTGCGGATATAACGCTGTCCCTTTGTTATTATTTTATCAATAAAGTTATTATAATTCAGGTGAATTAAATACAAACACGTAATTCTTTTCTAGTAAAGATAGGATGTTTTTAAAGAAATAAAAATGTCATACTTTAATTATTTCACAGACTTCCATCGGAAGATAGACTTTTCTCGCGACCACGACACACGGAAGGAATGGATAATTAAGACGTTTATTATACCGTTGTTGAAAATATTCTGCCACATTTGTAATAGCGCCTTCACTATCAAAGGTTGTTTCTAAAGCGGATTTTGGGGTGATTTGGTCAATCTTGAATCGACGTCTAGCAGCAGCTTCGCCACGATGAATGACGTTAATTCTCACATTCTTTAAAAATCTTTCAATAACAAAGTGATCCTTCACGTTTAATCCTCGACGTAAATCTTCAGGTGTTCTTCGGCCAAGAATCTTTGCAACTATGTTAACTAATTGCCCTGATTCGTAAAATACCGTTGCACTCACATCGAGATTCATCATGATTCTACCACTAGTAGGACGTGCGGATTGATAATATCCTTGCCAAACTTCAACACCTCCTTGCAGCGATTGAGATCCTTGAGGCGTGTAAAACGAACGACCAACTGTTTCATGCATCATTGAAGGACGGTGTCTGATTAAAACGTCAAGAGCCATAATAGCTGTTTTTTGTAATAAAATAATTAAAATAAGTAAATAACCTTTTATTGTAATAGATTGATAAATGAATAACATTACTACTAACCCGTCAAGCTATTTGAGGTTAATGAACATTTTCTCTTAAGGAACAAACTGAGTTCCTCCATGTTAATCTCATTGACCTTCCTAATTTTGATCTTGAAGGGTTTGGGTTGATGTTTTGACGTAGTAGCTCTGGCGTCATCCCTAAGGGTGATCTGAGATATGTAAAGAAAGATGTTAATCCCATCAATTTTTTTTAAAAAAAAAAAAAAAAAAAAAATCCACCTCATATGTAGCAGAGTCTCCTGTCGGTAACGGTTTAGCAGTAAACATATTTTTACGTCCTAACATGACAAACAATAAAATGATTAGACGAATTCGGCATTATTTTTAATAGGTCGATGATTAGTTACCATCAAAAACCGGCCTGACAACATCAAATGCAGAACGTTCAAGCTCCCGAAAAACCTTTCTGTTAAGGATAGGAGATACATCCGGGGAAATTGTAATATCGTAGTGGATAATGTTTGCTTCAGGAAGTTTGGTTACTTCAAAGAAATTAGTCCGAACGCGGATATTTATTCCCGATTTTTCCATCGGTGCTGCGGCTATTAAGTTAAAGAGAAAAGTGATTTAGGATTATACACGAAAGAGGATGGAATTTGATGTTCTTAAATAACTATTTGAGAATCTGAAAATGGTATTATTTGATTTGCTTTGGCTAAGTAGAATGAATAATTATATGAAAAGAAAAACATGTGTAGAGTAAGATTTATTTCATCATCTTTATTAAAAGCGCAAAGTCTACGTATAATATATAGTATTATTAATCGATTATATATCACTTTAAAAAGGGAGATTGATTCATTATTCATCATATAAAGGATATCGATAAAAAGATAAAAGGAAATTTGGTTTAACTATTTTAGACATCACGTCAAATCTTTGATGGTGAGCTTTAATTTTAATATAAGGAATAAAATTAAGCCACAACGTGTAAATTAAATATCGTTTCGGCTTGGTATTTGAATTCAAATTTACAAATTTACAATTTTGTCTTTTTTTTTTTTTTTTTAAACAAAAATTTTAGATTTCTCGTTAAGAATAAAAATAAAGAAGCTTTCCTGATACCATAATTTAGGAAAGTATATTATAAAATAACCGTTAAATTTTTTTTTTTTTAAAAAAAAAAGAAAAAAAAATAAATAAATCAAATTTTGATTTCGCCAAAGGCACCTCACAAATCATGGCGAAAACTCCAAATTAATTATCGGTTATTGATGGACTTTGACATTTGACAAATGTTTAAACACAATATTTTCCAATTCCGACTAGGTAGAATATATTGAATTTTTTACAATTTAATTACATATTTTTTTTTTTTCGATTTATAACGTTACAACGACATTATTAATTTCCAGTGAAATAATCCATTACTATAACATAATTTAATGTTTTTGGATTTTGCGAAATCCCAAATATTTCAATTTTATGATTGAATTCAAGTTCAGCAATCATCTATAGCGATCAAAATAAAATCCAGAATTAATATTTAACGAAAACAAAAAAATTTAATTTTTTTTAAAAAAAAAAAAAAAATTTAATTTACCAATTTTAATTCACGTTGGGTTATACGAGAAGAGTGAATTATCTCTTTCAATAAAACCCTCCAATCAACGTCCCAATCTTTAAATTCAGAAGTTTTCCCATTTTTCCAAATCGCAAAATAATTTAAAGATTCACCAACTGAATCTTTTGAATAATATGAAATATGATCGAATTGATTATAGGGTATCCAATTTTCATCGCTTGATAATTTCTGTAATTTCATCAGTTCAAAAGGTATTTTCACAAATATATCATGATCTCGTTGTGTTGAAGAGAAGGTTTTGTCTAATTTCAATGCTAAATCATGTGAATAATCCGTTTCGGATGATGAATGTTTTACATCCTTTACAATTTTATAATTTGAATATAAATTTTTGCTAGCTTTACAACCCATAATTGATTATAAAGTTAGAAAATTGGGTATATAATTTATTTTATTTTGAAAAATTCTTTTTTGTTTGAAGTGCAGAAATCAACATTTCCCTCTTTTTATGGTTTGAAAACCTTCATTTGAGGAACCAAATATGGTACAATCCTAATCACAGCAAGCAAGATTTTTACCTATTATCTCAATTAGTCATCAATTAAAATTCGGAGTTATTTAACGAAACAGTTTCAAAAAAAAAATGTATAAAAGAGGAAATCGTGTATCTTTATTTAATTAAAATAGGTAATTGATTTCTAAATCCGGATGTTAATTGTTAACTATTTTGTTAACCAAAGTGTAAATCTTTTGCATCACTCGTTTATATAATTAACATAATTGTAATCTCCATTTAACGTTTTAAACATTTCAATAATGTCATAAATGGTCAAATCTTCATAAATGTCATCATTCGAAAGATCATTTTCTTCATTTCCTTCGCAAATTTCAACTTGTTTGCCTTTTCTTTTAACATCAGCCTTTTCATTTAAATCATCTTTTTTCAATTTTGACAACACCAATTTCATCAACTTGACGTTCTATCATTTTAACTAGTTTGTTGAGTTTTGTTCTTACAATTCTTTCATCCTTCAACCCTTGACCACGAAAATTTTCTAAAAGGTGTTTCTCTCGTTGACGTGTATCAAATATCTGTTGAAACTTATTCCTTCGAATGATATCTTGTTGATTTGCAATTTTCTTGTCAAGTATTTCTCGATGTTTTATCACCAAATGTAATGGTTTAAGCTTATGTGTCTGTAATAAATACAATGGTTTCAATCTCGGGTTATTTAACGAATCAATGTTCCTTTGTCTCACAGGGTCATTAACGTCATGATTCGAGAGTGAAAAGGTGTTCGAAGTTGGTGATTTACGACCGAGCATACAAACGATCAAGAGCGAGATTAGAGCGATCAATGCGATTACCGCGCAAGAGATTGATCCGAAATGATAATGCGTTGATTGAAGACTTCCGTAACGTCATTGTGAGCGGTAGTTTGAGATGGAATTGAAATTTCGGATGCGATGGATCGTGAAAAGGTGGTGTAGACGTATTCATGTGGTTTAGTGTAGGATTGTGTAGCAGGATATGAATCCTGTAAACGCGTTTTAATACTTGAATTCATGATAAACATGATGAAAAATGAATAGAGTTTCTTAGTCATATAAAATAAAAGGGTTGAAAGTGTTTTGACATGATTTGTGGGATTTCTCCCCCATTTTATAGATAAACATTAATTAGGAAATCATGCGTAGTAAACGAAGAGCGTGAGAGAATAAGATGGAGAGACACGCGCGATCAATCACATATCATCCTGCATATAATTAAGGAAAAGTTTAATCGTCATTACATAAATTGCTTTTACCACGAACAATGCAAGGTAACAGATACATAATTATTGTTACAGAATGTCTCACCAAATGGGCTGAGGCTGCATAATTCGTTTATCAAGAAATCGTGTGTAGACATGGAACTCCAAAGGAAATATTAACTTAAGCATAATTCAATCTTAAATTCTAATGTAAGCCCCCCTTTGCACGAGGTATCCCTTTGTTCTGATGAGAAAAAAAATAATTGAATCAGTAAGACATCCAATTACATTCGCGTGTTATCAATTATTGATGAAACCTTTATGTAACCTAAAATACTTTATCAAATCATGCATTTTTTATGCCTTTTTGCAAAAGAAAAATAATAATAATAATAATAATCAAAAATATTACAGTACAAAGTATAGAAGTATATTTATTAAAGATACAGTATTTGATTTTGATTATAAATATGTGTTAATATAGTATGTTACAGGATAAAATAATCTATCACATTAGATATTTACAATAAATATACACATATCTATTTTAGATTTGAAAGTAAAAGTTAATTCTCGGTTCCTAAAACTACTTAGTTAAGTTTTCAATAATTTGTAAAAAAGTTATGCTTTCCAAGCCGGTCGCGAAGTATGAATTATGGCTGATGCGGACGATCCCGATTGAAGAAATAGTATTTGGTTGAATATTCGCTACTGTAAATATACCCATCTTGATATTTGGTACCGCCTATCATTGTTATTTGTTATTTGTTATTTTTTTTTTTTTTTTTTAAAAAAAAAAAATAATATAAAAATACATATATATCACTTACATTCATCCACTGGGGGGGCTATACCATCTATAGTATCTAAACGAATTGTAAAAACAACGTCACTAAAGACACCTTTTCCATTATTAGCCGTAGCAATCAATAAAAGCCACGGAATGTTTTTGGGTCCATCGGGAGATGGAATTTGGGATAAAAGTCTCGAAATAACAGATGAATTATCACAATCGAGTGTAGAATGCCAAGTAGCTCTACCTCCGTTAACAGCTAATTTATTTGTAATTTCCATTAAAATAAAATTTAGATGATACAAGTCACTTAATTTTTTACTTACGTTCTTTTTGGTAGTAATGATCGCCAACCACATAATCGACGGCATCTTCATGATCTTCAGATACTCTTTTATTGTAAAGTTTAGCATCAGGTCCAACTAAAAAAAGAAAAAAAAAAATTTATTTATGATTTTTAGATAAAGACGGCGACGTGGATCAGCTTACCTGCATCCCAGATGTGAGAGGAAACATTACATTTGTACATTTGTACACCAAAACCATATAGCGTGAATTTATATTTATATCCGTCTGGTACCAAGATTCCTAGTGGTATAATCACTTCTGATGGGTCTATAAATAATTTAAAAGAATTGGTAAATTTATTGTTATTAACCATCGAGAAAATCATACAAATAAAAAGAAGTGGTGCCTTGGTAGTCTCCTATTGGACACAGTTCACGTTTGAACAATGGTGACGCATAAGCATAAACGAAGAATGATGGTATGATTAAGATTAACATCAAGGATTTTGTGAATGCCATCGTACAATTTTAAGGTATTCTTAAATTTCCGTGTTTGGAATGTTGAAAGAAAAAAAGTGAGAGTGAACCTGTACGGTTTTTATATAAAGCGTAAAGATTTTTTTTTTGCCGGTACTACTCTTTATTTTTTATTATTTGTTTAAATTAAATTCCCAAGTTTAAAATATTATTGGATGATTAATAATGATTATATGTATCTCTTTTTTTTTAGAATTTTTTTTTTTTTTAAATATAAATCAAGAATGTATTAATTCACAATGAAATTCCCATTTAAGAAAGTATAATAGTAACCATCTTCGTAGTTTGCAAGTACTTGAATATATTTAACTTTTAGAAGGCACTTGCACAAAAAAAAAATATATTGAACACGAGTTCAACAAATTTAAAGTTTAATCTGGATTAATTAAAAAAGATCCGATTTTTTTTAATTTTAGATCATTTTACATTTATGGGAATATTTAATAGTCCAAGAATAACCTTGTATGGATTCAAGTTTTTTTAAAAATGAGGTTTAATTCTTAAAAATTTATTTATTTTTTTATTTAATTTTTTTTTTTTTTGAGACGCTCCTTAAAAAAGTCATCACCTTTCCAGATGTCCTCATTTTTCAAATTTGTATTTGTTAGTATATGACTTATTATTATTTCATTTGACCAGATTTGTTATGTAATTTTCTTCTAATAGGATCGGTATTAACCTATTTAGTATGTAAAATAAATTTGGTTCTTTGTAATTAAAATGTTTCATTTAATTGTACATATTATATATGGATATTACATCCTCTATATGTTAATATATTGTTTATTAAGTTGATTCTTTTATTTTAAAAGATTTTTACTAAAATAAAAAGAGAAAATTTTTTCTTATAATTTACTAAATTAGAACTAGAAACTAATAATACACCTTTTTTTTTAGCCGCGTCTATTTTTAGCTGGAAACGTCATATGATGTTTACGTGATCAATTTGCAAATTGACAGAAGTAAACAATTCAAAGTCATTGTTTCACCTTTTATATTCAATAGAAAAGGAAATTTTACCGCCTCTGGAAAGTTATAGAATAACTGTTACATTAGGTAAGAAATTGTCTTGGACGAATTAATACCAGCAGTAGTCTAGTAGACTTGCGTCATTGTCGGTTCACTTGGGTAAATTAAAACAGTAGGTAGAGAACTGGAAGCGCTTCGTGGCCTCTCTCTTCAGTAGGTTTGTCTAGGCGTATTTTTTTTTGGTAAAGGTCTACTGATTCTGAATAAGGGATTGGTTATGTCTTCCTTTGCACAACAAAACGAATACGTTTAGCGAGTTTACTCACCGAAAGATTGCGAGAACGTCCTTCTCTATTTGTTATTGTCAATTATTTATCTACTTTAATCGGCAACGTTTAAGAAATTATTCCATCTTGCTGGTCAATTGTTTTTTCATTATGATTGTCCATTACTTGGTAAATGAATTGGAGAACTGGAAGCTCTTCGTGGCCTCGCTTAGCGAGAACGTCCTTCTTCATTTATTTATCTATTTAGTGGCTTACTTAGATTTATCTAACTTTTTTTTTTTAAAATTCTTTAAATTAGATAATTAATTAGGTAACGAACGGATGACAAAAAGTTTTTTTCTTATTTCAATTTCTTAAAAAAAAATTCTGAAATGTGATTTTTTTGATTATTTAAATTCCTTTTGTTAAACAAACGAAATTAAAAATAAATTTCATATGATTTTATTAAACTCAATGTCACAATTCCCTTTGTAATAAAAGTAATTGTTCATATTTGTATCATGTGAAAACAATTACATCGATACCCATCCATTATATGGGTGAATTTACAATTGCGGGATGGAAATCAAGTTAATTATGTCGGTAATAGAAGATGCTTTGACAATTATCCTTTGCCATCTTTTTTTAAAAAAATTCAGACATGTTTCAATTGTTGCTTTTTTTAAAAAAATTTTTTTTTTTTTATTTCTCAATCTATTTCTCAATAAAAATTCAATATTTTTATTTTAAAATTAAACGACTATAAATAGATTTCATGAAATTTTTGCTTAACTGACTTTTTCATTTACATTAGATATTTATCTAATGCGTTTGTTTTAGGCGGCTTCAAAATTAATGAATAAAACCATTATATGAATATTTCAATTGCAAGAAAGAAAGAAAAAAAAAAAAAAAAAATAGAATTATTAAAAAAATTTACGGTTCAAAATACCGTAATCAATCAAATAAATTGAGAGAGAAAAGGCATCCTTTTCTACAATTGAATTTAAATAATAATGCTTCATGAAAAAATCCTTAAATTTCAAAGGTGAATACTTACTTTCTCATAAATGTTATATCCAACTTTTTCAATGCCTCAGCCAAATCTTATATACGTTGTGCACACGGTATTTTTATATGTCCTTGATTAATATAGATTTGATTAAATAACTCACTTTATCAAATCAATTGATCGTTAGCGAAAATAGAATCATACATAATTGCGATAATTAAAAAAAGCTACTATATTCTATGGTTTTAATATACTGATTTGTTAAAAATATACAATTCATATAAATAAAAAGACAACTTTTTTTGTCAACACATTTTACTAATTAAACAAATTATAGAAATTGGAACCTTTAATGTAGTTCGTATACATATATCAATCAAAAATGGACTCCTCCAGCCACCTACAGTACACATATGATGTCCAATTGGACATAAATAAGTTTATATGTCCAATTTGAAAAAAAATATTTTTTATAGAAAGCACAAATTTTGCTCAATATGGCATGTTATTAACTATATGATGTACCAAAATTTGAACCCGTTTTTGCGTCACAAAATCCAATTATTCCTATTTTTATCCAGTAATACACTGTAAACTGTTAAAGTTAAATTTGAATTCGATCCACAAAATAAAAAATGAACCGTGTTTTCTTATATAAATTACCTATTACAAAAACCATCTGAATTTACATTTTGCAAATTGTTAACGATATAGCGTAACTTTAATTGGATGAAAGGGACGAAATTCATCCTTTCTTTTTTCTTTTTTTTTTTTTTCTATAAATACAGAGAGAATCGTTGTCCCAGCATACAAAAAATCCAACTTCTTTTGCTAGATATAAGATCATCTATTTATATAAATATAAAATAAAAAAATTATAGATAATGAACACAAAAATTTCATCATTACTCATATACACTTTAGCATCCTTAATATTCATATCATTAGTTAAGGCAGATAAAGTACAGCATCCTTATTATGATAAACATGTTATTTTATCCACCGTGATTGGTACAAAGACTGGTAAGTAAAGGAAAAGAATTTTTTTTTTTTTACTTTTTTTCTAATTAATTATTTCAACAACCTTTTCCTTTTTATTTTACGTAAATAATAGAACAACCAATGCTTGATTTACCAGAGAATCTTACAATTCCTCATGATTATAAATTTAAATTCTTGTTATACGCACGTGGTTTTCAAATTTACAATTGTAAGATAGATAAAGATCATGTTGGAAATTGGACATTAGGTAATTATAAAACTTAATTGGTCCGAAAATATTTAATCGCATTGCGTCACGTGTCATACTAAAAAATGTTCTCATTTTGAAAAATATTTAGCTACACCTGACGCACATTTGATTAATGATGACGAAACCGAAAAATTCTCTCCGCATTTTCAAGTTGCTTATCATTTTGGTTTAAAAGAACGTATGTATAATTTTTTTTTTTTTTAAAAAATTTTCTTACATAAAACGAATCAGGAGTATTAAGATTTTTTCGTGATGATTACATAGCAATCAATGGAGGAAGTTCAACCTGGATATCAATATTACCAGGTGATGAATCTGGAGTCACAACCAGAACAATTGCTACAAATGAAGCTCCTAATGATCCAAAGAAGAATATTCCATGGCTATTAACTGAAGCTACGGTAATTACTTATCTTATTCTCATATATTATCATTACTTTTATGAAGGTGTAATAAATCCTTTTTCTATCCTTTCAGGTCAACTATGGTGACCATGGTGCTTTCCATGATATTACTCATTTACTCCGCGTAAAAACACGTAACGGTGTCGCTCCTCCTAATGAAAGCTGTGGGACAACTTACAAAGATGGATCATTTTACTTTAGTGAATATGATTCTGAATATTGGTTTTATCATAGATAATTTTATTATTTGTTAATCATTAATTAATTATTCATTTTTTTTTTGTATATTATCGCATTATAATTATTATGTAATAAAATATCATTTGCATTATTAATGTCGGAGAAAATAGTGAACTTTTTTTCATATTTAAAAAATAAAGATGCAATTCGGCTGAAATTGTCCAATGAGGGTCAGAATAAAAATTGAACTTGCCATATTCAGAGAATTTAAGTCAAATAATTAAAATTGACTCCATTCGGCATATAACATATTTCAGAACTTTTTAAATAGGAATTAATGATCCGTTACGGCAAGATCCGATGTCAGATGTAACATTTTTAATTTCGAAAAAAAAAAAAATTTTTTTAAAACCCCACATTTTTTTTTTATTTTATCATTTTTTTTTTTAAAAAAAAAAGTTCTGATAATCAAAAATGTCTACGAGTAAAATTCCTTCAGAATGCCCTATGCATGAAAAAACTGCGCAGCGTTTTCAAAGTGAAATATCGTATAATGATACTTCGAAAGAGACAAGTTGTGGAGTTTCTCTTTCGCCAGACAATCTAATGCCGAAACTTTCCCAAGAACCAGTACCTGGACAACAAATACCCCTTCCAACTAATCGTATCATTTCTTCAATTCCAAAATCTAAAGGTTCCGAATATTGGGAATATCCTTCCCCTCAACAATTTTATAGTGCTTTAGTTAGGAAAGGTTGGGAAACTCCCGAGGAAAGTATTGAAATGATGGTTTCTATACATAACTTTCTAAATGATAAAGCCTGGAATGAAATCCTCAAATGGGAAAAAATGAAAAAATGGTACGTAAAAATAATCACCCTAATGAATTATCACATCACGAAAATAAACATAATTAAATTGGAATTTCATTAATTTTAAAAAGCAATTGTGATGGGCCCAAATTATTACGATTCAGAGGAAGGCCGCAAGAACCAAGTCCAAAAGCTCGAATGTTACAATGGGCTTCAAAATTATTTCCTTCGATAGGGTAAACGTTCTTTTCGGATAACGTTTATTCATTCTAAAATAATCTTTTACTGAAATATTTTTAAATTTTTAGTACACCGCCTCCTTTTGATCGCCATGATTGGACGATTGATAGGTGTGGTAGAGAAGTACGTTATGTAATCGATTATTATTCGGCACCTGATGAAGGGGAAAATCCTGTATTTTATCTTGACGTACGACCAGCCTTGGATTCCTTTGATAGTGTCGTTGATAGAATTAAAGTTGCTACCAAGGAAACTTTTGCGCAGCTTAGAGAAAGAGCAAAGGCTGCAAGGCAAGGAACTGGAGATGATAGATCATGATAACCTATTCTTCTCAAAAAAAAAAAAAAAAAAAAAAAGAAAATATTTCTAGAAGGAATTTTTGTCGGCTTGGAATCAGGATTCCGATTTGGGTTACGTTTAATTATTCTATATCCAAATATAGACATTACACAATCAATGTGTGCATAAAATGACCATAAAAAGAAATCAAGTGATAATTTGATAATTTGCTTTCAAACCCTTTTAATTTATTTCTGTTAAAATCGATTAGTTTAAATACGGAACACTCCCTTTATTATGCGCTGTTATTGTTTACATCACCTAAACTATTAATGGATTCTCTCATCTTTTATAAATACCAACCTAACTTCCATTTTTTTTAAAAAATGTTATTTTAAATGTCTTACAGACGTTCGAAAAATAGTAACTCGACCGTTTTCTCAACCTTTCCTTCAAAACGTAACAGAAATAAATTTGGATTATGTCCAACGTGTAAAAGGTCGAACACAAACCCTGATTGGTGTCAAATATGTAATTCGGAACGTTTTCGTCAACAATTTTGTCATTGGACAAGTGGCAGCAAACTGATTGATGACTTTATTAAAGATACTCAATTAAGTGCTACTAATAATAGACAAATTTTAGAATGGATACCATACAGTCAATTTAATATTTTGAAATTTGCTGCTACGGGTGGTTTCGCTTCAGTTTATTCGGCGATTTGGCGGGATGGATTTATTACGAAATGGAATTATAAAGAGAGTAAATGGGAAAGGAGGAGTAGATGGGGGGTTGCATTAAAAGTTTTGAATGATTCCGCCGAGTTGGCTTCGGCATTTTTAGAAGAGGTAATTTTTTTTTTTTTACCGCTCACTTATTCATCATTCGATTATATTAATTAATAAATCTTTTTTTTTTTAATAAAAAAAAAAACCTTTTAACCAATTATTAAACGTGATAAAAAGGTTAAAGCATGTGTCAAATGTGGAGGTGGATTTGGTTTAATTAGATGTTATGGTTTATCACAAGATCCAACCACGAAAAATTTCATTATTGTGTTATATCACGCGCATCATGGTAGCTTAAAATCTTATTTGGGACAACATTATGGAGAACTTGATTGGACTTACAAGTTAGGAATATTAAATCAAATTGCTGAAGGATTAAAGAAAATTCATCAAGCTGGCCTTGTTCACAAGGATTTTCACAGTGGAAACATCCTGCTAAGTAATTACGCTGAAATAGCAGATTTGGGGTTTACGGGACCTGTGAGTAAGAAAGATTTATCAACTTCGACGACTTCTAAACATAAACACGTGGTTTATGGCGTTTTGCCTTATATATCACCCGAAGTTTTACGTGGAATAAAATATGATTATGCGGCTGATGTCTATAGTTTTGGTATCGTAATGTGGGAGGTAACAACATGTTTACCTCCATTCAATGATCGTGCGCATGACGCCTATCTCGCTTTAGATATTTGTCTTGGGCTTCGACCTAATGTTGAAGATTATATACCGGAACCTTTTGTTAAATTAATGACGCGTTGTTGGGATGCAAAACCCAGTTCACGTCCTTCTGCTCATGACATATATCAAACTTTACATACCTGGTATTGGAATTTGAAAGATGGTGACGGTAACGCGGTAACTAAATCATTTATAAATGCGGACAGTAATGATTTTCAGTCTTCAACCCCGGCTTCGAGCAGACCTGTAACTCAAACGCATCCGCTAGCAGTTTATACAAGTCGTTTATTGAATTTCCACGATCTGCCTGAGCCAGTAAACGCTCTACATACGACTGGACGACGAATTCCAATTACAAGTATGTTTGGGTTTTAAAATATTTCGCAAAGTGCCTAATATAAAGTCTAACACTTTTGTTATAATGTTAGGTTCAGTTGGCATTGTCTCAAACGATAGTTTAGGTAAATCAATTTATCCTTGAAGAAAAGCTGTCACTTTGTTTTTATTTTTATTTTTATTTTTCTTTATTGAACAAATCATCTCTTTATTTTGTAGAAGAATATCGAACGCGTCAACTTGATGATGAGCTTTCATTTGGTATATCAAAATTTCTTTATGTAATAACTTGAATTTCATTCTTAATATAATGTTCTTAAATCTTTTTTCATAACCTTACTATATTTAGAAAATTGTTTTTCTGATAGAATTGAAACAGTAACATTATCCGAAGTTATCGGTGATTACCCGTGATGTTACGATATAATTATTCGGCCCACTGATTATTATAAAATAATATTTTAAAAATTATTCTTTTTTCTTTCTCGTTTTATATCATTTAATCTCAATACAACTGCATTTTTTTTATTATGCCAAAATCCAAATAAAAACCTTTTAAAACCT